GAAGAAGAAAGAAGGAGGAGGAAGAGGAGGAGGAAGTAATAGTAGTAGTAGTAGATACTAATTTCTCTGAAAGTCTTAGCAAGATAAAAAGATCAACAACCTAAAACTATGAAATTCATACAAGAAAAGTTCAGGAAGAAGCCTGACTGGACCTGCCAACTACTCTCCCCTCTCTCTCCCTCTCCCCTCTCCCCCCCCTCCCCCTCTCCCTCTTCCTCCCTCTCCCTCTCGCTCTCCCTGCTCTCAAGTGCTGGGATCACAGGTTGCATCGCCACAAGGCTCAGTCTCCTTGTTCTTACTACGTAGCCCAGGCTGGGTTAGAGCTTTCAATCCTCCTGCCTCCGTCATCCACAATGTTAGGATTACAGGGATGAGCCACCACGCCTGGTATATTTGTGGTTTGGTGATAACAATCACAGTAGTAGTGGTGGTGGTGGTGGTGGTGGTGGTGGTAGTAGTAGTGATAAAGGTATCTGTTAAGCTCACTTTTCTTAGCAAGAAAAGATAGGGGCACTGTTAGATGATCTCTAGTCACTAAATTCAGCAGTAACAAAGATTATAAAACAAAAATTCATGACTGATCTATGACTGTGCTTAATTCCAACCACATTATCTAATATGTTCACTAAAAAAACAGAAGACCAAAAGGATGTAAGTTATGCTATAAATTGCTTTCTCATTATTCACTTAAAAATGGAAAAAAATTTTAAAAAACAAAGCAAAGGGGCTGGGGAGATGGCTCAATAGTCTAAGTACCTGCCTGGCAAGTGCAAGGACCCAAGTTCAATCCCTGGTACTGCATGCCATGCCAGCCCCAGAACCCTAGGCATGCTGTGCCAGCCCTAAAACCAGGCATGTTGGTGCATGCCTGTAATCCCAGAGCTGGGGAGGCTGAGACAAGAGAATCACTATGAGTTGGAATTGTGCAGTGAGACCCTGTATAAAATAAATAAATACGTTTTTAAGCCGATCTTTTTTTTTTTTTTTTTTGGCGTAACTGAGGATTGAACTCAGGTCCTTGTGCCTGCCAGGCAAGCGCTTATTCAACTGAGTTATCTCCCAGGCCCATAAATATGTTTTTTTAAAAAATTCTTTAAAAAACCCCAAAAGACCAAAGGCCAGCCAAATAGCTCAGTGGATTAAAGCATCTTCTTAGGCAGACACAGGGGCTGAGGGGTTCAATCCTTGGCCTGCCGTGCTGGCCCCACTCCCAGGGTACACTGAGATGGCCATTGAGACTGGACATGGTGGCATGCACCTGTAATCGCAGTGCTTGGGAAGTTGTAAAACAGAAGGATCACTATGAATCCGATCTATGTAGTGAGACCCTGCAGACCCTGTACTAAATTAACAAAAACAAAACAAAACAAAAAACCCAGACATGGTAGCGCACACCTCTAACCCCAGCACTCAGGAGGCTGAGGCAGGATCACCGTGAGTTCAAAGCTAGCATGGGCTATATAGTGAGTTCAAGGCCAACCTGAAAAAACACAGTGAGACCCTACCTCAAAAACTATCTTCCTCCAAAAAAAAGTAATATAAATGGACCTTTTAAATAAAAGATATAAGCATTAATGTACATAAATTGTATATTACAATTCTCCAAAGACAGAACTTGGCCCACATTCTTTTTTTTTTTTTAATTTGTGTGTGTGTGTGTGTGGCCAGCTCAGCCCACCAGGGGGCGGGGTGGGCTGGCATGTGGTGCTGGGGGATTGAACCGCGGTCCCTGTGCTTTGCTTGGCTT